GCTATTTTTTTGCAAATACTTGTAACATTGATGTGTTTGCATATTACTAAATGTAATTTTTGTCAAAATTCTAGATGCTTATTAACACAATTTCTAAAAATTTTTTGTAAACACAAAAATTTGCGTTGTTACGTTGTAGATCAGGTTCTCAGGAGTAATAATCATTTTGGATTTTTTTTGTGGCTATTCTGTTTCCAGAGTTATAAAATTTTTAAGATTAGTATACAAAAGAAAAAGAAAAATTTGATCTACATGTTTACGTGACACAAAATCCTTACTATTTGATTTTATTATTTGGTTTTCTCCTATATTTGTGATTATACTAATATCTAACACCCCAATGACTCTAGGTGGTTGGGCACCATAGTGATTTGTAACAAATACACAAACCACATCCAGGTGCATACCATACAAGTGGAATTTTAGATGAAGAGATTGCTAAATCTAAAAGCTTAAAAAGTTATACAAATAATGATAGTTCGTTAAATAGTCTTGGTTTTAACTCTTTTCTCTAAAATGATGATTTTAACAAGGGTGAATTGGAAATTACTATCCATTAATTATTACTAACAATGCTTATTTAATTGATTATAAAACATTAGATTCTAATAATTAAAAGAAAGAATCGATTTAATCTTCACTATAAATTTATTATTTATTTTTTTATTTTATCATTATTTTATTTCTTATAATAATATTTGAAATAATAAACATTTTACAGTTTTCTGATTCTTGTTAAATGGTAATAGTAATATTGCCGATTGTGGCTTAAATTTGGGGCACTCTTATCAGTTAATTGCAAGCAGCTTACAATAATTTGATGCTTGTCAATTAATTAGTTTATGGATTTACTTTGGTACTGGATAACTCTAAATAAATAAAGATGGTCCTTTTACAAAGTTCAAGGGCTTTTATTTATTCACTTGTGATCGATTTATTTCAGTCCTTTACCTTGTTTATATTTATTTGCCAATTGCAAACTCGCTTTGGTTTATTTACAAAACAACTCAAGTAGCTTGTCTAACAGCCTTACGTTTACGATTAAAATAATAACCTTTGGACGATACTCACTAATTGACCAATGTTAGTCCTAACCTTTGCTTGCACACTAAAGCGAATAAAATGTGGCTTTTTGCCAAAACCCCACAATTGTTAACTTTTACCAATGCACTACACTTGTTGCTTTTATCAAAGCGCTTTAAACAAGAAAATAAAGACAATGTTTTTTTAAAAGTTTATTGATTTTATATAATGATTCTATTACAGAGTTTTATTTTATTAGGATGTTAATTATCTATTACTTTTTCAAGAGAGGACCCGAAGTTATTCAAGCGAAGACCAGAAGTTATTCCCTATGAAATTTTCGTTGATCGTTACAATAAAGATGGGAAAATTAAAGTAACTTAATTAATCAATGGTGTCTAAAATTAGTTGACCTTGGAACATAAAGTACACTAATTTCATCTATCCCGATCATGCATCACGTTATTAATATTAGTATAAGAAATGTTTCGAGCTTAGTAGTGTGGATGGAGTGAGTGCAAACTTAGCTCCTTGGGAATGAAACAAAAGATCGTCAAACAGGAGTCTTCCAATGCAATCATATTTTATTTTATTAAAAACGAAAAATCAATCATTGATTAGTTTGGCATTGAAAATTCTAAACAAATATTTATAAATATAAAAATGGAGAATTTTTTATCTTTCTAAAAATGTCTTCATGTTATCTTGGTTTAAACACTTTAATTAATAAATCACATCGAGTGTCCTCACCGTCTTCATTATCTCACGTAAAGAGCGTTTATTATTATATATCAAATTTAGTTATCGTTTCGCTAATCACGATAGAATCAATAATAATAACACATCAAAACAAAATTCTCAAACTGTTTAAAGTTAATCTCAAGTCATAACATAATTTTAACAAGACGCAATTTACAACACTAATTTAAAAAGAAATAAAAAAACACTAAACAAATTTAATTGTAATTTATTATTTTTCTTTTTATTTCATATTTTATTTTTTCAACAAATACTTTCATTCAATCCAAAAAAAGACTTTTATTTTCCAATTTGAGAAAGTAACATAGCAAATGGGTCTAGTGAAATGTCAAATATATGAGATATTCCATATTAATATTAACATGCAGAGAAAAAAACCACATTCGTACATGCCCAAGCAAGAAACAAGGAGCCATGTTCACTTGATTTTTTAGAGTATATAAAATAAATTTATATAAATAGTATTACAAAAATATGTAACTATTTGAGCATATCTTTAAAACTACCTTGAATATTTTGGTATAACACCGCTTTGTCACCGATATAAACAAAGTTTTTAAATTTTATCTTTTTTAAACATATACACATATTCAATATAATAAATAATAACATTAGTTAATTAAGATGAATAATCTTGATGAATTGTTCAGTCACACAAAAAATATATACGGAAGAACATTTTTATCGGATCAAGATGTAAAATATTTATTACCAGTCGATGATTTAGAAATCAATCGTAATATTACCTTTTATTTGTTATGGAAATGTGTTTGGCAAAATGATTTTTCTGTACCGATCGAAGAAAAATTACAAAACGGTTGTAGTGTACTTGATATTGGGTGAGTATAAAAGTATTATATAATTATTCTCTTTTTTTTTTTTGGAAGAGAATTAAAAAAAGTAAATTTTATTTAATTAAAGATGTGGGCCAGGATACTGGTTGATTGATATGGCAGAAAAATATCCAAAATCGACATTTCTTGGGATAGATGTAGCCAATTGTTTTTATAGTGGTATTATTGGTGAATCATCATCGTCATCATTATCTAGCAGTAAGCCTGAAAATTTAGGATTTTTACAATGCAATGTAATCAAAGGAATTCCGTTTCCTGATAATACATTTGATTTCATAAGACAATATGAAATGTGTATGTCATTTGCCGAAAATGATTGGAAGTATATGATCAATGAATTTGTTAGAGTGTTAAAACCTAGTGGTTGGATTGAAATTTCAGAATTTGGTTACGATCTACTATTAGGCGGTAAAACCGAAGCTGGTAAACTTATCAACAAAACTTGTAAGTTTTTATTTTGAATTCATTAAATATTATATCAACTATTAATTATTAATTATTAGTTATTTTTATTAGTAGATAAAATGTTAAAAGAAAAAGGTTTAAATGGTGATATTTATAAAGACATGCCAAAACTATTAGAATCAAATCCAAATTTAGTTGATCATCGAACAACAAGTGTAAAATGTCCTGTTGGTAATTGGGCAGGAAATTTAGGTGGACTTGTAAGTATTTTCACGTGTTGTTGATATTTGTAATAATAATAATAATAATAATAATAATATAAATAATTCTTTTATTAGATGTGTGAGCAACTTCATCAAATGATTGAGGCTATGGTTGATGTACCAGCTTGCATGGAAATAACTAAAGAAGAATATCGTCAGAAATTGACAGAATACATTCACGACATTAACAAGTTTGGTGGTTACATGACAAAATTTCGATTTTATTGCCAAAAAAAAACCCCTAATATTAAACATCGTGCAACTTTCTAATATCATCATCATCGTGTCATTTTAATTTTACCTCTATATCATTTAATGTCGTAAATTATAATTATGATGATGATATCAAATATAAAATATTTGTGTTTTATTATTTATGAATCTGCAAGTATGTTTAAAGAAGCATGGAATTTTTGTAATTTTTCATCAGAATATAATCGTTGTCGCTTAAAATGCAATATTTGAACATAATCAAATGATTTGATTCTGGAAAGAACACTATAAATTTCTCCTATGAAAAAACACGCAATTAATAATGATAAAAGATTAATCAAATATCATGTATAAACACTTATAAACATGTCTCTTTATTAATTACCCCTTTCAGTTATTTTTTTCAAATCCATTATAATTCGTTCAAAAATTTGGCCTCGGCTGTTATGAATATCAATCGCCCAAGAAGGAATAAGTGGTAACTAAAAAATATAAATATCATATTTTTTCACTAATTAAAAAAAAATAGGCATCATGATGATAATGATAATAATAGTAATAAATTTTCAAACCTGATGACGTGAAGCCAACACATTTCCTTGAATATCTTGTATAGTCCATTTCTCAGGATAAATAATTTTTTCAATTCCATTTGTAAATTTTACTATTGGTAACAATTCATCATCAGGCTTAGTATATAAATCCTCTCCATTATAACATGACATTTGATCTTTAATAGAATAAAATCCCAATATTACTCCTTTTCTACCACTAACTAGTTCTGGTTCTTTAAGATTTTTTATAAGCATTACTTGTGCTCCGCGCATCAATTTTAATTGTTTTTTAGCAAAAAAATTTTCATTTTCCACAAAACATTTTATATGTCGATCATTATCATCTCCCAACACATTGTCTACTGCTGTATATTCATATAATTTGTTTTGAATCATTCTTAGTCTTTTATTATTTATTGAATTTACTTTACCACTATCTGATAATCTAATAAAAAGAATAATTAAAACTAAAGTTAAAATGTCATTAAAATGGCATTTATTATTTCATTTTAAATATTAAAAAAAAATCAACATACAATTCTGAAACTTTAATATCATCGTTAGGATATTTAGGAGTTTTCTGCAAATTTTTGATAATATTATTAGTTTTATGAGATAAAGTTTCGTCCCTTATATCATTTAATACCCGAGTCAATTCTAAACAATATAAATAATCAAATAAATTTATTAGGAAAAACAAAAAAAATTTCCCAAAAATATAATTTATTATTTTACTTGGATCTTTATTTTCATATGTTTTAGTTAATCGAATACAATAATTCAGACATCTCCAGGATTCTGCTTCAAAGCAATATTTTGAAATTCTTTGCTTTTTAATTGATGATTGCCAAAAATCCCCTAATAAAACAAGCTGACATAATATATTGATATTATTCTTATTACTCTTATTATTGTTTTCAAAATAAAATATTTTGTTGCATTCAGACCTGTATACCACCAAATGGTTTATTATTTCTTCTAATCATTCTTGCAACAATTTCCAATTCATCAAATAATTTTCCATCAAGCATTGAAACTGTTATTATTATATATATAATTTCAAAAAACAAAAGTTATTTTCTTCTTCCTTGCTTCCCCTATATAAATAAAATCAAGTAAAACTTACTTTCATCAATAATCAATACTTTTGTTTCTTGTAATCTTTGTATTGATATATTTTGAATTCTCTTAAGCAATTTAAGTTTATCTTTTTGAAAATTTACTCCTACAAATGAATCTAAAGTTTCACCACATATTTCAATAGCTGATATATCAGTTGTTGATGTCACTGCGACATTTTTAGTTTCGTATTTTTCTACAAGTGCTTTAATCAACTGCCTTAACAAAAATCTTTTGCCAGTACCTAAAATATCATATAATTAATTAATTAATTAATTAAATGACTAATAATAAAAATTGTTATTACCTTTTATACCAGTATAAAATACATTTAAACCTTCATTAACAATTAAATCGAAAACTTTTAATTGTCCGTTTGAAAGTTTTGAGAAATCTTCCTGTTTTCGTTTGGATAATGACAATAATAACAACAGTTATAGCAATATTTCTTATTGTTTATTAATAATAGTAAATATTTAAATACTCGTGTACATTTGCAGATTTTACAAAAGTTGATGAATGATATTTCTCAAAATTATGAAAGAGAAGAAATTTGGAATTAGGTAAGCCTAATTAATAATAATTTTAAAATCGAAAAAATTTTTTGAAATTATATAAATTATATTAAAAAATTAAAATTTATTTATTCGTTTATTTATTTTAAATCAAAAATAAAAAGTTCAAACCTTTTTTTCTAAAGTTTTTTAACAGATTATGTACAAACATTTCTATCTAAGATCCATCGGCTATTTTTGGAAGATTTTCATATTACCTGTACTGTTTACGTAATATTTAATAGTAATGTTAAATCGCGTAATGGTTGTCGTAATCGTGTAACATACAAAATATATAAATATCCTCGAAAAAAATTTTATTCGAAAAAAAATTTTGAAAAAAAAAAATAAAACCAAAAAATGTCACAGGTAGTAAAACTTTACATTTATGATTTGTCTCGTGGTTTTGCAAGGACATTTTCTATGGGTTTAGTAGGAAGACAAATAGGTTTGTATTATTTATATAAAAAAAAAATTTTTTTTTATTCAACTCTTATATTCATTGTAATTATAATTAGATGGAATATTTCATACATCTGTCGAAATTTTTGGAAAAGAGTGGTATTTTGGCCAACAAGATCAAGGAATATTTAATACTTCTCCAGTAAGTTGAGATATATAATAAATTTTGAAAATTTTTTATTTGTTAATTAATTAAATGATTAAAGCTATTTTTTTTTATTTTATTAGGGGCAAACAATTCTAGGGGCCCCACAAGAGATTATTGATATGGGAGAAACTGAAATACCTGAAAATATATTCTTAGATTATATTGACGAATTAAAGGAAAAATACTCAGCTAATAGTTATCATTTATTTGAAAGAAATTGTAATCATTTTTCAAATGATCTTTGCGAATTTTTAACAGGAAAATCAATTCCAAAACACATTACTGGTAAATTATATCTTTCTCTCTCTAATTATTGCTTATTTTATTACCAATAAACTATCTAACTAACTAATTTTCACATTAAAAGATTTACCAAACGATTTTTTGAGCACACCATTTGGTCAACAATTATATCCAATGTTTAACAATACTTACAGACAACCTTGACATTTTTTTTGAAAATTCTAAATTAATTTATATTGTATTCATTATATTTTCTTAAAATAATTTTTATTAATAGATTATTAATTTTAATTTTAACCAATAAAAAATTAGATAATTTAACTAGCAGGATTTACATTGCCAGGATTAAACTAGTATCACTTAGCAAGAAATCCCAATTATGTATTACAAATGTAATGCAGAATATAAAAAACCATATACCGATATATGAGGATTTTTTGATTTTTCAAATAGTAAAATGCGTAAATTCAAACCCTTTATAACTTTTAAATCATCAAAGGTATATGCCGTTGGATTTCTCTAATATTAATTAGGTATTGTAACTAGTTTATGGCTAATTTACATGAATTTAAAAAAATGCTCTCCAATTTTTGATTTTTTTATAACTCAAACATAATTTGGAGTCTTGTTTATGTGTCTTTGCTATCTGAAATTTTGCTAAAATCCAAACTCTTATAACTTTTGAACCATTAAAAATCATTGGATTCCTTTTAACATCTTTTTAAACAAAGCTCCTTTTTCATTTTCGTTAGCAATAATAAGGTTTTTAAACTAATTTTTGTCTTAATCAACATGAAAATAAAAAAAAGCTTTTCATATTTTTATTTTAATTATCATGTACCTTTAATCGGAGTTTGAAAAAAAATTTTAAAAGCTGTAAGGATTATGTATATATTTGAAAAGTGATAAGCAAAAAATCTTCATATCAGTCAGTCCCAATGATTGGCATGGAAATGCTTTTCCTTCAATGTAAAGTGTGCATACCACAATTATACAGTTTATTGTCCTTTACAATTAGTTTCAGCCTCAAAGACTGTCTTTTTTAAAAGATCAAAAGACCAGTCTTTCCTAAATTGGTTAAGAAGACTGGTTAAAAAGATCGTTTAGAGACCAGTTAAAAGTCAGTCAGTTCAGTGATGAACTGCAGGCAGCCAAAATATATGGATCTTTCTAAAATGCCTTAAGTTATGTAATTGATGACCTGCCCATGAATGAGTGGATGCTATATAATGATCAATGGGGGGGGGGGATGACACAAAAATTGCTAATTGACTACCTTTGTTAGAAAGTTGTGTTATACTTTTATCCCACCATATTATCATTTTTTATATTTATATTAAAAAAAAAAAAAGGTTGCTATGGAGGTGCCATGGATTTGAAGGTTTCTTGTGCAATGTATATATGGTAATAATAACAAATGGACATTTGGTTTAGTTATAGAATCTGTTATTATTATATTAATAATTTATAATGTGACATATAAATTGGGTTTAAATTCTTAGTCTGTTATATATATGACCTGTTTATAAAAGAAAGCCTACCATATATGATCTCATATTATGATTATTATTTTTAAAATAAAATATCCAATCTGGATATCATGTAGCATAACTTTTTTGTATTCAACCATGTTTTTGTTGACTTGAGAAAGGTACCATTCATCATATCCAAATACTATCAACTCTATTATTTCCTTCCTCTGCCAATTGCCATACCCTACTTAAACAAATCAAATTAAGCATCTGACATTTATATGTTCAATATATTCCTACATTTAATAAAGACTAACCAAGAGATATCTAAACTAGAGGCCTGCATGGGTCATCATAATTGAATGATTACCCAACCTAAACCCGTATAATTTATAATTTGCAACCTGAACCCAACTTGTACACAAAAAATTATAAAAATTTCAACCCGAACCCAACTTGTACAGTGCAGATCATCTATACTCAAAAGTTAAAATTTTTGAAATATTATGTGATTCACACATTGAATTTTAAGAAACTTACCACCATTTAATTCAGCTTTAAAAGGGGAGTCTATTAATCTAAAAAAAAAATTTGTCTCAAATTTTCTTTTCATAGACTTTTTTAATTTGAAAGTTATGCTCAGAAGTGCAACAGTAATTTTCGTGTTACAATATTTCAGTGTTGTGCAATTGGAACATTGTAACGCTATTGGGATGTTCCGATGTAGATCTTCAATTGATATTAACCAATAAAATTCGTGTGTATGACACTATACTTGAATTTCATTGGTTAACTTCA